ATTGCATTTATTGTTCATGTTGTTTATTATTGTAATGTAATGCTTATTAATGCATTTATGCCACAGTTGTAAGTTTTGCTTCCTGTCCAGGGATTGTACTGCCCGGGACGTGCAGTCCTTGGGAAGGGGGCAGTGTTACGAATTTGGTATTTAAAAAGCTAATGTTAGTTCAATTAGAAATTAAATGGTTTTATTTCTCGCGCAGTGTAGCGCGTGACGAATATTAAAAGAAAGCTAAGCCGGAAAATTGAAAATACAAGAGCGCGTGCATTAAATAAATAAATATCTCTTTTTGATTTCGAGAAAGTACTAGAAAATTCTAGCGCGTGATTTTAAAATCTTATAAAAGGAGGAGGAAAACATCTCAGTTTGTAGTAGTTGCTTAGTTTGTTGTTGTAAAATCGTGTGATTTCTTACGATACGTTCAGTTTAAACGCTTGCTTGGTAGTTGCGAGTAGTAATTATTTAAATTTAATTTTTTTGTGCATTTGTCTTTTTCTATTTTTCATACACAAGATGTTATGTGACAGACTTTCTGCAAACAGAAGTCCTCAGCTCTGTTCTTGTACATGTTTTTTAATTGTGGTTCAGATGTGTACTTCTCAAAGGAATTCTTCTCATAGGAAGATTATCTGAACATTTAAAAACTATATTCTGCTTTTAGGGGCCTAATATTTTATGCCCCTAAAATTAATATTGAAATTTCTAAAATGTTGAAAAATATGTCATCTGGATTCTGTACAAAAAATATAATCCCCTTTTTCATTTCTGCATTTGCAATTCCTGCATTTTCTTTATTCCTACATTTTTTAATTGGAAGGAATTTCATTCGCAGAGCCCTCTAATTTATTCTTACAAATCATGTAGTAATGTACCATTTTAGATAGATATAAATAACACATTTTGTAATTTTTCTAAACTGTGGTTATACAGCATGATATAATAGCTACACAGGGTATGGCGAAACAGTATACAGCAATATCTGTCGCACTGTCTGAGATGGGTGGTAGTCATACATAGCTTAATGCTTAAATTTGTTATGTGTTATTTATTTATTCATGTTTTTTTTTTTTTTTTTTTTTTTTTTTTTTTTTTTTTTTTTAATTATGTTATAGCAGTTTATTTCTTTCATTCTTAGGTCCGGAAGTGAAAAATTTGACTTTTCTACGCCGCCAGAAGTTACAGCTAATGTTCCTAAGACAAACCAGGCTTTCCTGAGGTAAGTTGGTTTATTTTTAAAATAGATATTAGCTGTGCATGATATTACAGTTACTTAATTATGGTTAACTAATTATGTATTAATTTAGAAGTCAAGCAACCAAAATCAGCGTTATATTTTCAAATAGTGAATATTTCAAAATATGATGCTGATTTTTGTTGCTTGACTCTCAAATTAATACTTGGTCGGTGGTCGGTGTGTTATTGTATCTTAATTAAACTAATTATGGTTCTTTTCTTCTCAGTTCTGATCTGGACATTTCAGTTATTGACTCTGACGTAGAAGGTAGAAATACAAGCTCTCTTTTGGGGTAAATATGTATTTCTCTATGCCAAAATTAAAATGTCATCATTTATGTTTTTCTTTTATGGTGTTACATTATGTTGTTTACATACTGATAGCTATTAAAACTGTTAAATATAATATTGTAGCTATCAAAAAGAGGGGGATGAATTTGATTTGTACCAAATTTGGACGTTTTGCATGAAAGAACTTGAAAATAAAAGATTTTTTTTAAAAATATATTCATTGAAATCAGTGAAATTTTCAGAGTCGGGACACTGAAGCAAATGAAAATATTTTGGGGTTTGATTCTTTTGATGGGAGCCTCATCAATAAGCCTACTATCTTTTTTAAATATTGCTTCTTTTTCATTGTTTTCATGATGTTTTATGTTCCCTTCATGAAAGAGATTTTTAATAATTTAAATTTTGTTAATAAAATATAACAAAATGAAATCTGTGATTATGTGGCTATTATTTTTTCCATATATATTTATTTGAGGAAAACCAAAAATTTTATTATTTTACAGAATTTTTAAGAAAAATATAAGGATAAAATTTTTTAAATAATTCTGATTACTACCTTTGCTTTCCTCTCATAATGTGCCTCAAATTAGAGCAATTAGACAACAAATTTAAGTCGTGATCTTTTTTTTCCAAGTTTTTTTTTTAGGCTTAGGAGTATAAATTGCTTATCCCCACAAGACAGTGCATCTTCTTAGTATGCCATCCTAAGGCTCCGTTCACATGATGGTATAAATGTCATAGACGCATAATCATAAGGCACAAAATGTGGGAGTTCCATTCACACCTGCGAGAGAGGGTCTAAGCCATAGCCAATTAGAGAAGCTAAATTTGTGCATGCATGTATGTGTCTACAGCTTTCTCTCTCAATAGGTTTTATGTATATGCTCTGATTGGCCGACTCTTATATCAAGTCGGCACAAAGTTGAAAACTTCAAGCTTAATGCCCAAACTAGTTTTTGTGACATAGCAAGGTCTGACTACAAAGCGTTGTTAGTTGGGAATTATGACATTTATACAACGGCTTGAATAGAGCCTTAGAAAGCCATTTGGTAACTGAGTTATCCACCATGAAAGAGTTATTCTTGCCCCTCTGAATTCAGTGTTTACTGGAACACGAACATTTTATACTCAGGTGTCAGGTGTAGAGGCCCTTCATGTGAAACCTCCGGCACACAAAGTAGTGACTAATATTGCACGAGCAAATGACACTGCGAGCATGGAAGCAGCAGTTGTGAAGATGACTCATCTTCTTGTAGTAATATACTGGTAATCCAGTGTATTATTATTGTTAATTTATTTGCTATCTGTTGCCTAAATTTCCTAAACCTAATTGCGAATGGGCTGCCTGCATGGGCGTTTTCATGGTTTTCCCCGTGTATATGAGCCATTTCCCTTAGAAAGTCCTCCATGAAAGCATTCCTCCTCTTAGGAAGATCAAGTGCTTTGCTGTCATCAAATAAGCCAAATTTAAACCTAATTTGTAATATTTATATATATAATATATATATGTATATATATGTATATATATATATGTATTATATATATATATATTTTAGCTTGGAGTCTGAGCCTCTTCAGGAGAACCTTAATGATGAATTTCTGTGTCCTGATTCACCTTTAATTATCGAAAGGGAAGATCGACGAAAGGCAAATCCATTACCATCTGGCAGAACAATTTGCAATATGTCTTTTGTAATAGTGCAGGCTAGGACATTAGAGCAACATTCCCTAAATTGTAAATTTGGAGGATCATTTATTTTTAACAAAGTGATTCGACGTGGTCTTGTCACTACATATAACTATGTATGTGATAAAATTTTATGTGGGGAAATGGCAACAATTTGTTCTGATATGGAGAAAAGCAGCCTAAATCAGCTTGCAGTATTAGGTGCGTTATCTACTGGCAGTGGATTTTCACAAAGAGGAGGAAAAGTTTAGCATCATGGAAATTCCGTATATGAGCAACTCGACCTTTGCTTCTTGTGAGCGAACTACTGGCAAAATAATACAGGGATGTGCACAGGAAACTATGTGTGCTGCTATAGAAGAGGAGAAAAGGCAGGCAGAACTTCGCAATGATAAAGATAATGATGGTTATCACTGTATAACTGTCATTGTTGATGATGGAGGTTGGTGTAAAAGAAGCTATGGGCATGGTTACAATGCTTCAAGTGGCATATCTGTTATTATAGGCATGGTCACCCAGAAAATTTTGTTTGTTGGAATTCGCAACAAAGTGTGCCTTATATGCAGTGCTATTGAAGATGGCAAGATGCCAAATAAAGTGCACCTTTGTTGGCGAAATTGGAATGGGCCTTCTACAGGTATGGAAAGCAGTGCCATTGTGGAAGGTCTGAATTATCTCCAGTGTGTTCACAAAATACGTTGTACTCGACTTGTTGGAGATGGAGATGCTAACACAATGGCCAAAGTGAAAGAAAGCGTTTCATATGGAGGACGGGTGATCAAAGTAGAATGTGCTAACCATGCTGTTCGAAGATATCGCAGAGCTCTTGAGAAACTTCAGCAAAATACTGCGCGCTTCCCCGGGGCTAAAGGAATTGCTGCCCGTAAATTGCTGAAAATTAAAATGCCACTGTTAGTCAGAGGTGCTAGAGTAGCTATAAAAGCTCATGCTTTACCTAGCCATTATCAGCACACACAAGAAGCTATTGATGCATTAGTATCTGACTTGAGAAATGGGCCACATCATATATTTGGCAAGCATGATGCTTGTAGTGCTTTTTGTGCAAAGAAAGGTGCAGAGTTGGACAGCACATACAATGAAATTTTTTCCTCGGGTATGTTGCAAGCTATTGAAGCAGAAGTGGGAAGAGTACTGATATCGTGTGTAGCAGTACTCTTATTTGGAATGCCACAAATAATCCTGCTGAAAGCTTCATGAGTCAACTGTGTAAAACATCTGGTGGAAAAAGAGTTGATTTTTCCAAAGCTGGTGGCATGAACAGGCGTGCGAGTATTGCTGTCATGGCCTATCAAAATCCAGCACAGCAGTGGCAAAAAAATGCACAAAAAGCTGTAACAGGAAGTAGCCCCAGGACTCCAACTTTGAAATTCTTAGCTTCCAGAAATAAGCGCCATGTAAAACGTCTTGAGAGACGTAGACTTTTTGACACTGAGAAGAAAAAGAGAAATAGAGAAATGAGGAAAGCAGGACATATTCAGCAAGGTGGGGATATTTCTTATGGTGATTTTCCTGAGAAACCAGACCTATCAGATGAAGCATATGAATTGGCAGCTAAAAATTTTTTTATATCAATTGAAGTTCCAAAAAAAGATTCTCTTGAGGCCGTAACACGTGGACAGTCATCATCTGAAAGATGGCGTCATGAAAGATCAAGAAGAATATCATCATCCTTTTTCAAAGATGTTGCTGATAGGCGTCCAACAACACTCAGTGCTGCTTTAGTGAAACGTGAAACTGCTTTAGTGAAACATATCATATATATAATGATAACGTTTCAACTAAAGCATTAAAGTATGGCTTGGCTAACGAAGCAGTAGCCTTAAATCAATACAAGGAAAAGCACATGGGAAAAAACATCAGACGTTGTGGCCTTTTTATTGATCCTAAATATCCCTTTCTTTGTACTTCGCCAGATGGATTGATAGACGAAGATGGATTACTTGAAATAAAATGTCCTTATACAGCCAGATTCTCAGCAGCAGACTTGTCAGACTTTTTCAGCAAGCCTAATTCTGTTGGTCTTCGGATGGATGCTGATAATAATCTTTATTTACCGAAAAGCCACAAATATTATTTTCAAATTCAAGGGCAGTTAGCCATAACAGAGAGGAATTGGTGTGATTTATATATATGGTGCAGAGAAGATGCAATCACATTAAGAATACCCGAAGACAAAACTTTCTGGATCAGTTTAGTTCCAAAACTCGAAAAATTTTACGTGAATTGTATTCTTCCTGAGCTTGTTGATCCAAGAGCACCAAGAAAAATGTCTCTTAGAGAACCGAAGTATATTGTTGATGCTAGAGCACAGAATGAGAAACAAAAACAGGCCACTGCTTCTGTAAAACAAACACAAGAAAAAAGAGAAATTGAAATTTCAGAAGCAGATAAAATTATTTCATCTCCTAGAAAGAATGCAGGAGAGAAAAGAATCAGGAAACCAAAAATTATTTTTGATTTGTAATCAGTAACAAGCCAAGCCAGCAGCACACCGTAACATTTTCTACGTCTGAATAAAAACTATGCCTGCAACAAAGCATTATGATTAAATCCATACCTAATTAGAATATTACCCCATTTCTCTAAAAAAATATGTTCAAAAAGTCTCTGCTTTCAGTAATAGATACGTCTGATCAATTCTGCCATAATTCTGTAATCAATACTTGAAGCTAGAATCTCCTGTGCTGCACTGCCATTGCATCTCTTTTCTGAATGTTTCATCATCCACTTCTCATTCTAAATATTCCTGTGTGCTTTCATTTATAGCTGCTAACTTGTTGTGAACATTTTCTGCACCACATGTTATATTTTGCAGTGTAAATAATGCGTGCAATCATATATTTTGGTTTTAATCATCAGTAACTTTGGTAAAACTACATTTATGCAAAGAAGACTTCCATAAAGTCACAGTTTCTGTGAAAAAGAAAATAAGTTTGATGACCTCTGTCATAATTCAATAAATAATTTTTTAAAATAGCATCACCTGTGCTGCACTAACATTGGAAAAAATTAAAGTCATCTCTTTTCTGAATGTTTCCTCATGCACTTCTGTTTCTAAGTATTCTTGTGTGCTTTGATCCATAGCTGATAACTTGTTGAGAATATTTTCTGCACAACATGTTATACCTCTGAACTTAAATAATTGCGGTAAAGAAGTATTTTGGTTTGAATCATGTGTAACTCCAATATAAGTCCATTTCTCCAAGGAAAACCTCCACAAAGTCACTGCTTCTGTAGAAAAATAAGCCTGATGAATTCTGACAATTCAGTAATCAATTTTTGAAGATTACATCTTCTGTGCTGCACTGCTATTGCAGCAAATTAAAGTCATCTCGTTTCCGAATCCACTTCTGTTTCTAAGTATTCTTGTGTGCTTTGATCCATAGCTGCTAACTTGTGAACATTTTCTGCGCCACATGTTATTATACTTCGCTATGTAAACAATACCTGCAATGATGTTTTTCGGTTTCAATCATCAGTAACTTCTGAATAACCACATGTCTGTAAAGAAAACCTCCATAAAGTCACTGCCTCTGTAGAAAGCAAAACAAGTCTGATAAACTCTGCCATAATTCAGCAGTCATTTTTTGAAGATAGTCTCCTGTGCTGCACTGCCACTAATTATTAAAGATAGCATCGTTTCTTTTGCCCTACCGTTGCAGAAAATGAAAATCTTTTCTTTTCTGAATTTGTTCTAGTACTCATTTGGCCTGATATGCTTGTTCTCTAAACATTCCTGTATATTTTCTGTGCAGCTGCTAACTTTTCGTGAACATTTTCTCCACCATACTGTATACACCTGCTTGTAAACAGTGATAGCCATTAAGTGATGTACATCTACATATACTTAATTTGAATACAAGAAATAAATATATGTCTGATGAACTCTGCCTTAATTCAGTAATCAATTTTTGAAGATAGCATCTCCTGTGCTGCAGTGCGATTGCTGAAAATTAAACTGATCTCGTTTCCGAATGTTTCCACGTCCACTTCTGCTTCTAAATATTCCTGTGTGCTTTCTCCATAGCTGCTAACATTTGAACATTTTCTGCACTACGTGTTATACTTCACAATGTAAAACAATGCCTGCTGCAGTGAAGTATTTTGGTTTCATTCTTCTGTAATTCCAGTATAACTCCATTTCTCCAAGGAAGACCTCCACAAAGTCACTGCTTCTGTAGAAAAATGTGTCTGATAACTGTACCATAATTCAGTAATCAATGTTTGAAGAGAGCATCTCCAGTGCTGCACGCGATTGCTGAAAATTAAATTGATCTCTTTTCCGAATGTTTCCACATCCACTTCTGCTTCTAAATATTCCTGTGTGCTTTCTCCATAGCTGCTAACATGTGAACATTTTCTTCACCACGTGTTATACTTCACAATGTAAAACAATGCCTGCAGTGAAGTATTTTGGTTTCATTCTTCTGTAATTCCAGTATAACTCCATTTCTCCAAGAAAGACCTCCACAAAGTCACTGCTTCTGTAGAAAAATGTGTCTGATAACTGTACCATAATTCAGTAATCAATGTTTGAAGAGAGCATCTCCAGTGCTGCACTGCCATTGCAGAAAATTAAATTGATCTCATTTCCAAATGTTTTGTCATCCACTTCTGCTTCTAAATATTCCTGTGTGCTTTTCCCGTAGCTGCTAACTTGAACATTTTCTGCACCATGTTTTTCTCAGAGTAAACAGTGCCTACAATGAAGTATTTTGGTTTTATTCATCAGTAATTTAAGTATAACCACATTTCTGTAATGACCTCCACAAAGTCACTGTTTCTGTAAAAAAATGTATCTGATGAACTCTGCCTTATTTCAGTAATCAACTTTTGAAGATTACATATCCTGTGCTCATTCCCATTGCAGGAGATATCTCTTTCCGAATGTTTCCTCATCCAGTTATGCTTCCAAATATTCCTGTGTGCTTTCATTTATAGCTGCTAACTTGTTGTGAGCATTTTCTGCACCAAGTGTTATACTTTTCAATGTAAACATTGTCTGCAATGAAATATTTTGGTTTCATTCATCAGTAATTTCAGTATAACTCCAGTTCTCCAAGGAAAAGCTCCACAAAGAAAGATCTCCAATACAATTATTTACATTGTGTATTCTGATAGGCTTTAGAAATTTTTGAAAGTATTGGAAATTAATAACTTGGCATCGAAAGTGAAATTACAATTGTACTGAGTAAAAAGACACGTTTTATTTACAGGAATTCTATTGGACATTGGGTATTTCCTGTATGCTACAACATGTGCTTTATAAAGCAAAAAGATACGTTGGATTTACAGGAATTCTATTGGACATGAGGGACTTTCCTGTATGCTACAACATGTGCTTTATAAGGCAAGGACATTGCTTAAGAGGGTATAGATATCGTTTGCGGAGAGGACTCCGAGACAGTGAGCGTTAAGTTGCTAGTTCCCCTCGCTTTGTGTTTCGCCTGATACTGCTATAGTAGTTTGGTGCGCCAACTTCAGTTAGGAGCACTGTAGGAAGGCCTAGCGTGCCATATGGTTTTATTGAATTTTTTACTGATTTCTGCATTATTAATGAGCAATTTTTTCCAGTTTATTGTTTCTGAGATCACAAACTTGGAATATATATTCGAAAGTAGTGGTTCCTCTCACTGCTGCTGAAGAATGTGACCTTGATTTCTTCAAACACCTTAAAATGCTTGCTCATAACGATTTCCTGCAGAAGCAAAAATGAGCATCCAGAGATGAAAGTTTCCAAACTCTTCAAAGCAAGCGGATAGCATTGAACAGCAACCTGGGGATGATGAAAGTCATAAAATCTGGTGACCCCGCAGGCAAGAAAATTTAAAAAATGATGATAGCTGCTATAAGCCGATCGGCGGAAGTTCAGATTTCCGGCAATGAGCCAAGAAGAAATAAAACTATTTGTCACCAGCCAGAAAGAGTAAGGAAAGTGTCTGCTAACATGAGAATGAAGGTTTTTGATGCTGCAAAAAAGCTGATGGAAATAGAAATGCCAGTACCCAGCCTGACATTCCCCCCCCCGGGGGTTGATGTAGAGAACTCTGCGAAGCTACTGGCTAGGATCTGTACCTAGGCAGTCTCGGCCACGGGGGTATAAAATTTATGAACTTAGTGGTTCTGAAGGCTCTGGGAAAGGTCACTTATTGGCCGGCCTCGGAGTCTGGCACGTCCTAGCGCGGCGTGGTACTAGTAGTAGCCGGAGGTTTTCCCCCAGGTTCGCTGGGTAATGTCCCGCTGTGACGGGCTCGCCCAAGCGACTGGTAGGAGCATTAGACGACCGGTGCTGCCTGGTGTCTTATCCAGGTGGTGCGCTGCTCCCTTGGAGGATAATAGTGGAGGTTGAACCTCCACGACGTGCCCAAAGGGGGAGTAGGCCTGCAGTGTGATTTAGTTCACGGAGCAGGGAAGCCTAAAACTTACTTACTTACTTACCCAGCCTGACATGTACACTGACAACGATGCAACCCAGGAGAATCAAGATAGATTCTGCTACACCAAACAAGTGGCTTGCATTAATCCTATCACAATTCAGGACTCCTGATTCAGCTGGAAGGACATCCATACAATGATATTTGAGAAGAAGACATACAAAATTGAGTATCGTGGAAAGATGATTGCTTATATCTTGAACGTGGATGATCCACTTGTCTACAAAACTCATAACCATTGCTAAAAAATAAGGACATCAAATTTCAGTGCATCCTGCTCTCACAAGAGAGAAAGGTGATCATTAGAAGCCTTCCCAGCTCCACATGTTAATGCTGCCTCATGTTGCATAATATAATAATACACACACTGGCCAATCAATAAGAAACCTTTCAGATTTTCATCTGAATGCATGCTAGGGATGAAATATCCAAATTTTTTCTATGATGTGGATTATACTTGGTTAAAATGCCAGTATAAGTAAGGTGTAAGAGTGCTTTTCATGATGAATGAAGTAAAATGGGGAAAAAAAAAAGGCGGCAGATCGTTCACCATTTGAAAAAGGGGCTTATTGTTGGTGCACATTTAGTGGGGGCATCGATTTCGAATCCTTCTCTAAAAAATGTAACTGCAGTTCGAGCATAGTTTTCAAAGACAGTGATCGGCGGTATCTCCGATGAATTGTACGGCAGAACACGGATTCAACTATCACAAATCGTCAACCAAGGCTCTTTCCAACAAATTTCAGCTAGAACTATGCGCAGCGAATTGCAGAGGGATAGGAATGCATAGTTTTGGTGCCTGTAAGAAAATCACTCAGTTCTGCCGACATGCAAGACTTCATTTTCAGTGGTGTCATCTATCTGAGAAGACACTGGACATCTGAGAATTGGAAATGGGTAATGTGGTGGGATATTACATTATGTATTACACATGTATTACATATTAAACATAAGTTATGGGTTACCTCATAACTACAGAAGGTTCCTGTTCGCTGCCAGAAAAGGTTGAAGTAATCTGCAATGTAAATTACCGACAATACATGAGC